GGGATAATAATTTGGCATGAAGATGATAGAATCTTGTTATGGCTCTCCACATTTATGTTGTACATAACTCTTTTGCTATGCAATTTCATTACCACTACTTAACTGTCTTGACTTGAGTGTCCTTATAACCTTCAGTAGCTCTGACTTTACTATTAGATAGATTTAACAGTTAGACAAGCAAATTTTCTCAAACTAATATGTGTAGTTTCAAATTGAAATGTCATAGTAAAAAAAAAGAAAAATTTTAAGTTGAAGTGTGACATTTCAACCCATAAGTATGCATAGTTGTTAAAAAAAAAGTACAATGGATTGACTCGTTCAATGGTTAGATCGTTATAAAGACTTGTGTCTAACCTTACCTTTCTTCTTTTGTTTTTCCTCCTCTTTTCATTTTTATTCAGTTTCTAAATATTCATTGATTAGTTAGAATGAAAATGTTGATGATGAAGTTCATTTGTAATGTAAACTTGTATATTCTGATTTATATATTTTCATCTGAAAAAATAATTTAGCCTTTATCTATCTATTATACTCAGAAATCCTGCTTTTATGTATTTGTATCTGAAACAAATTTATCTACTATACTTGAATTTTTTTTATTTGTGCATTATTTTATATTTAACAAATGCAAGCTGTACAAGGTGCAGTTCACTTACTGAAATTTACTGATATTGTAGTCTACAACATAAATGTTAGGATGAATTCACAAGTTCAATATATAAATATATAAATATATATATATATATATATCATAACTTATTTATTTAAGTATACATTTTTAATAAACCATGCATATTGACTGAGAAAATTTGATTGTCCAACGAAAATGCTAATCCACTTATTGTTGGCACTTTAAAATGTGTCAATCAGTCACTAGTCAAATTTTCATGATCTTTTCTAACTCACACACTTAGGGGTGATTGTTTATGGATTCAACTAGTTTTTATTTCGTTTGTTTTTTTTAACTATAGTTAATTTTGAAAAAAGATAGTATGGTTAGTTGTTAGTGGATATATTAAAATAATATTTAAATAAAATAATTAAAGTTGATTTGATGTAAAATAGGATAAAAATGATTGAATTGGTGGTTAGTTAAAATTATGTGAGTGGATGAATAATGAATTAAAGTTGATGTGATGTGTAAGAATGATTGGTTGATATTATTTAATTATATTGATAATATTGAAAATAGTAGAGTTGGGTTAAAGTCAAGTTAAATTTGATTTTTGGTTGATTTTTTTACTATTGAAACTATATCCAATCGCCCCCTTAGAGCTTGATTATTTATGGAATAATTTGCTGAAAATGAGTTATTCATGTTAACTATAATTCATTTTAGAAAAGGTGGTATGATTAGTTATTAGTGGAATTTTAAGAATATATTAAAATAATATTTACAATAAAATGATTAAAATTAATTTAATGTAAAAGTATATGATAAATGATTGAAAATAATTCATAGTTATGTGAATGGATAATTAAAATTGATGTGATGAATAAGAATGATTGATTTATATTATTTAATTATAAATCAATAATATTAAAGATAGTGGGTTGAGTTAAAGTTGAATTAGATTTTGAGTATAAAATTTTAGTGAGTAAATTATTTCATAAACAATCAAGCCCTTACCATGCATAATATGCTAATATCTTGTTACATCATTTAGTGGGTATAATTAACACCACTTTTACCAAGTCTACAATAGTAATTAACTCATAAAAATACAATAAGTACAGCAAAATACAACAATCCAACACATAGAATGTATACCATAGCTGAAAAAATACAGATAATACACAATGAACTGATGAAGAGGAAAACAGTATCTCCCCCATTTTTTGTTTTTATTTTTTTTTTCTTTTATTCTTTTTTTTTTATTATTCTTTTTCCAAAAGAAACAAACCCCATTTCAGTTTTTCATGCACAAATTACACCTCCACCCCCCAAAATTAAAAAATAACCAAAAACTCTCGATAAAACGATGCATAATAAATGAAAATAATAAGACTACTCTAAGGCCAGTCGACACAACACATATTTAAACACGCGAGCACACAAAAGCAAAAGACCCTCGAGGCACAGTCAAACTGCCCTTTTCATCGGAAGATTATATGTTTCCATACGAAACATAAGCTGCAGATTTTAAAAATAAAAATTCACCCGCCTATTTTTGCCCTTTTCATCCCGAGACTGCTGTTGAAAGGGGATACTGAACCAGACATCCGAGACACATCATCTCGAAGGGAACCATTGAGCACGGCAAGTTCACGTAACTGCTGCTGCTTGTAATAATCATGGGATTCATCCTGCAAAGAAAAAGAATTGCAATTTTGATAAATTATGTTTTTTAACGAGCTTTTCTAATGGTTGGTGGTGAAAAGGCTCATCAAACAAGATTTTTCTCTGGTTTTTTTTTTTTGATATTAGGCCGTAGCAATTTTAATCTCAAAGTTCCAACTCTTTTGGTACTATGATTTAATATTTAGCTGCAATTTGAGTCTTGGTTCAAAATTTTAAATTTAAGGACTTAAATTGCAAATCAAAAATCAATAAATTTGGGAATTTGTTGCAATTTTTGAGGATTGAAATTGCAGCAAAACATTAAAATATTAAATCACACGATCAAAAGTCAAAATATTAGAATTTGGGAATAAAATTGCTATGGCGTTACAGGTGTAACAGACTAATAATGCAATTTTTCCGCAAAAAAGGCTAAAGGAAGTAGTCAAAAGTTCGAAATAAACATATGGAGAAAACAAACAAGGGAAAGAATTGGCAAAGTCTGGTTTGGTAAATGGAGGTTTTACCATTGGCTTAAGCAAATCTTCAATTATCTCACGTGCTTGTCTAACACGAGCATCGATTATCTCAACTGGCATCTCTGCTTCAATAAGTACGTGAAGAGGCTCGTTAAGGTGCTCATATCCAGGTTTTCCCCTTACTGCCGCTTCCTTCACAGAAA